ATTAAATGCATATATATATATATATATATATATATGAAAACAGTTATATATACACTTCTATATGTATATATAAGATTATTAACAAATTATTTGTAACAGTAATTGAAAACATTATAAATTATTAGATGTGTATAAACTAATTCATTGCATTTTGGTGTTTAAATAGTTCTTTGAAACATGAAAAAGTATTTTTTCCACAGGGCTGTTGACTTAAAAGTTCAATTTGTTATAAGTTTTTAAGAATTTTAAGAATATTTAAGAATTTTAAGAATTTTTTTCTACGATTATTTACATTATTCCTGCAGTTAACATTGGCATTTGCTAATATGAAAACTGCAATTGCTTTTGATATTAGTGTTGTGATTAATTTATATAACTACTATCATCAGAATCACTAAATAAACTCTTGTTGTATTTATGCAAACAATGCAATCCTTGAGATAAGATATTTGCATTAAAACTTGTACAAGCCATAATAATAGGAATGAAGATCATTGAAATTTATGCTTATAAGTAATCAACCTTTTTATTTACTAACTGAAGTTTTTAATTACCTTATTTGCTAATTGATGTCGAATTAACTGAGAGAATTTAAAAAATTATTGAGCATTATTATTTGTAGAATTATTTTCATTTTCTATGATTTGTCACTGTAATAATAGCTGGAAAAATTAACAATAACAATATATATGTATATATATATATAATGTATGTTTTCCCATTACCTTTATTGATACTATACAGGAAATTCTATAGATGTAGTATCAAAACAAAATTTATCAGGGATACTAGAAAATAATCTCGCTTTTCTATCACCTAACTTAAGACATTGTTTATTGAGTATTTAGCAGCAAATTGCTTCCAGATGAACTAGATTACTTCCAGATGTACTAGATTACTTCCAGATGTGCTAGATTACTTTCAGATGTACTAGATGTTATTTTTCAAATTCTGTTTTCTTTTACAGGTCCTACCATAACAGATGAATAACAAAACGCTTGAAGTGCGTCATATTTGTTATCGGATGTTTCTATAAATTTATTGTAAGTAAAAATGCAACAAAAGTCACTGAAAGGATTTTCAGTGTTTATCAAAATGTCGGAAAATGCCAACAATATTGGCTCATGAAATTCCAATCATACAGTTTAACAAAGAGGAGATTAAAAAGTTGGTTTGAAGATGGATAACCATGTCAAACAATGAGTACAAACATTGATTAAGTAATAAATGTTTTCTTTCCCTAAAATAAAAACAAAATTATTTTATGGTATTCCTAATAGATCAAGTGTATTTTTTACTATTATTATTTTTGACTATGCACTAAATTCAACAGTATTTTTTGAAATGATATCTGACTTTTAAATATCTTACTAAATGTTTAATAAACATTTTTAAAAATGTTTCCCTTTTTGACATCATTTTCTAATTCATTTACGTTTACAATTTGATAATAATCAAATTGAGTTTCTTTAATATTGTTATCATTTCCAATTTGACTGTGTCAATTACTGTTACAGCAATATTGTTAATAGCATCTTTTTTAAAAAATTTATCAATGATTATTCACTTCTGTTTTTTTATAGTAAATATTTTCAATATATCAAGGTAGGTTGGTTGGTTTGTATGTAAAATTTGGAGGTGAGTACATATGTACGTAGGCAGGTAGGCAGGTAGGGAAATAGGCAAATGACAAAAGATGGCAGGTCAGATTTTCTTTTTCTTTTTTTTTTAAATGACCCAAAACCACATTTGGTCAGCTGTAAAAACCGGATGTGGATGCAGCAAGCTATGACCACAAACGAACTGAACAAGCACAAATTTTTGTTCCAATGTATATATATTCAATATGTATATATCAATGCATATATATTGATATATATTTTGTTTTGTTGGGTGGGGAACAGCAAGAAAATGCATACATAGTAGCAATACTTGAAGACTGTCTTTATGAAAATCATAGAATGTTATGGCGTCAAAGAGATGTCTTGCTTTGTGTGTAGTTGTGCATGCATATTCATGCCATCATTTCTCTGTGATGGTTTCTTTGTTTGTTTGCCTTTTTATTGGCTGATTTCAGATAAGTAATGACATTGAATTTCTTATTGGCTGATTATTAATGACATCACACATCTTCCCACAATTCTCTACTCAATCAGATATCCTACATGGTTGGCCACTTATTATTAATGTCATTATTATTTTACTCTTCCAAATGATTATTTGTTTGAAATGAAAACGTTTTATGGCTGGGTTCATGAATGGTTATGTCCCATTTATCAGCATTAACATTTTTTGGGAAATTTCATATTGATGCTTTTAATATGTTTTCTGAATTATCTACATTCTGAATTATCTACAAAGTAATCAAAAATAATCAAAAGTAATGTCCATAAAAGTTCAAGAAACTATGTCAGTCATAATTGAGTCAGAAATCTGTTTTTGTCCCCAACATTCAAACTGTAAACTGTTTTATTACAGAAAATTTTACCGTTTTTCATTTTACTTTTTGCAAATTTGGCAAAAAGTATAAACATCAGCTTCAAAACACTTGACTTTTTATTTAAATTTATTTATTTAAAATTATTTAATTTAATTTATATTTAAATTTATTTAAATCCCTTTTATTTGTCTTTCTTTTTTTTCAACGTTGGGACATCATATTCTTTTAGAATAGAATTTATTCAATTAACATATCTTAAATTTTTAAATGTTCACATCTTTTAGGAATTTATTTTGACAAAGGATATTGTCTGTACTTTCTGAGATATTTTTTTAAAATGATGCTAGAATTTGATGCATATATCACAAAGTATATGTCGACTGCAGGTGTGTCACTGTGTGCAAGTGTGCATTTGAATGTACAAGATTAGTTAAAAATTCCTACAAAGGATTAAAAATTAACTTTTGCTTCTTGAGCTGAAATGTCTCATAAAAACTATTTTTGATTTTTTCTCAATAAATTTTTCTTTTACATTGAATCATTTTCTAAAGACGGTTGGATTTTGTGGATAAGAAGAAATTTTATCAGAGCAAAGCAGAGATTACATTTGATTTTCTGGCTTAATTTGTTTCATTTTTTTTCTTTTTGGCACCAACACAATGAAGAGAATTAATGGCATTTGTTTTCTTTTTCAATTTTCTTTTCTCCTAATTTCACTTGCACACAATTTGTGTTGATTCTGTTTGAGTCATGGTGAGTAGGACTGATGTCATTCTACTCTTGGGATAATTTTGAACTGTGACAGTAGATCTGCTTTACTTATAGGATTATTTCAGGGTATTTATTATTAAACATATATATATATATATATATATATATATATATATTATCACTTAAATGTTATTTTTCATGGATACATATATTTCAGTAGACACTATTTATTTTAAACAGTATTTTATTTTGTCCACTAATCTGAAATAAAATACTGTTTAAAATAAATAGAATGTCTACTCAAATATGGCTATCTGCTAAAATAATTATTAAGTGATAAAAATATGGGAGATTAATAAATAAAACTCCATTATTTTTTTATAATATATATATATATATCTATCTATCTATCTATCTATCTATCTATCTATCTATATATATATATATATATATATATATATACACTAATAATAAATATAGATTTTGTGCATCAAAATGTGGCCCAACTCTGAGATTCTTGCATGTGACAATCCATGAGATCTACCACATGGTGAGGAACAAAATGTATATTTATTATTAATATAAATTTTAGCTCTCTTATTATACATTGAGCACTGTTTTTTTTACCACTAGTACTCTGTGTGTGCTGTTTTTTATATATATATATATATATATATATATATATATATATATATATATATATAGATAGATAGATAGCTCGATAGATATATAACTATATATATATAGATATAACTAGACACAACTACATATCAGTATATATATATATATATATATATATATATATATATATATATATATATATATATATGTGTGTGTGTGTGTGTATTTGTGTATACTTTTGTTTATTAATATATGTATCTGTTTATCTATCAGAAGACTTTTGTTAGGCATATGACTTTGCAGTAGTATTCCAGTAGTTTGGGTACAAATATATATATATATATATATATATATATATATATATATATGTATATCTATATATCTATCTATTTAACTCTTTCTCTCTCTCTATATATATATATATATATATATATATATATATATATATATATATATATATATATATATATATATATGTATAAATAATTTTATTTCATGTAGGTATAATTGTATACAGGATATTTTGAAATTTATTTTGGTATAATGTGAGTATTGTATACTAAATTTAAAAATCAGTAATTTTAAATAAGAAATGTGCATATGTATATGTGAGAGATTTTATGTGTGTGTTTGTCTATAAGAAGGAGTGTATATGTATGCATTTGAGAAATCAAGTGTATAATTGAGAGAGAGGAGAGAAGAGAAAGAGAATGTGGGTGTATATGTTATATATTAGAATGTGTCTGCCTATTTGTGCATATATATATATGTGAAAGTGAGATAGCTTTGTAGAATATTTGCTCTTCAAAAACTGCGATTTTTCTATCAAATGCCATAACATCATATGATCCTCTTATTGACAGTACATAAGGAATTGTTCAATGATCAATTTGAAATTTGAAAATTTTTGTGGGGGTTTAGAAATATTTTTTTTCATTGAAAAAAATTAAAAAAAATGGGGAAATGGTTTCACAGATAAATTCATTTTTTTTTATTTCTTCACTAGTTTCTCTTTTTCCAAACAATTGTTTTAATCATCATCATTATTATTTTAATCATCATCATCATTATTGTCGCCAATGGCTTGAGAGTGACGGCAATATTAATTATTTAATGTCTTTGATCAATTAAATTTTAATCAAATTGATTCGATTAAAAATTTTATTTGCTTTTTTCCATTTCCATACAACTTCAACTTGTATTTGAAATTGTTTGGAATAATTTCAGAATGAAAAAAAAGTTAACTGGCAAATTTATCTGCTCTGATTTGTATTTGAGGTTTTGTCTGTTTGTAAGGGTCAGACCTGTTGCAGCTCCGTTCGGTTCTGGCTTATTGCACGACCACCTGCCCCTCCACCAGCACGTGTGCCCCCACCGCCCCGCCGTTGTTGCTGTTTGCCGCCACTTCCCATGCACCATCCACAACAGATGGACGTGGAAGACTCGCGCACAATGTCGTCTAGACTCATACACAGGGCAGCAGCAAAGAAGAAGATGGTCCCACCCCAGCCGAGCCCATAGCCTGTGCCATAGTGATGTGTCAGCATTTTAAGGTCGTTTTCAATGGCCACGGGAAAGATTATTAAAGCGACCGTCGTGCTTAGGGCTGGAAAAAAGAGAAGAAAAAATATAATG